GTTTTAAAAATGTAGGCATTTGGTACCTATGTTTTGAAATTTGTATCAATTCAATCCTATCCAGTTAACGGCGTTATAATTGATGCGAGAAATTAAGGACCTTAATGATAGTCTGGGTGGAATAGCTATCAAATGTTTGAATGCATCTTCATTAACGTCCTTAATTTCTCGCATCAATTATAACGCCGTTAACTGGATAGGATTGAATTGATACAAATTTCAAAACATAGGTACCAAATGCCTACATTTTTAAAACCGGATACTAAACAGAAAATTACCTCCTAACATGGAGACTAATTAAGCCTTAATATTTCTAGCACTTATTCTTGGGCCGGAGACTTTGTAATGAAAGAATTAAATTTGATTTGAGATTCAATTAAAGATTTTGTTAATACAAATTCAAGTTGCCTATTGGATCTTACAAATTCAGTGTAGATATTCTTAGACAACTTTTTTCAAATGAAAAATTACCAATTTTAGTTCTCTTGTGAAACATTCATTTGAAAGTAACGAAAAACTTGGTTATTATAATATATTTTGAAGAGATTATTTTATCCATAGAAATTTACTCATAATAAATGTTATAATCTTATATATATATTTTTAATTATTATTTTATTTTACATATTTTTTAGAAAAATAATATATTTTAAGAAATATATATTATATTGTTACATATAAGGCAGGTAAAAATAACTGATCTATATAGTTAACTATACTATATTATACTAAAAAAACTATCTATTTTTACTAAGTTAAATATATTGTTTTACGGTTCGGTTTTAAAAAATTGAATTTATGAAATTTTGAGTTCAGTTAACTAATAGAATTGTACTGTAATTTTAAAAGATCGGTGACAAAGTTATATTCTCAAATCTTAATGTTATATGTATGTTGTCGCGGCTCTCACACCTTTAAACTTATTAATCACCCGTTAAAATATTTATGTTTAGATTTCATTCAATGCAACAATATAATAATTAAAAAAAGTTAATTTCAATTTTTTTATTTGACGTGAATAAAGTCTATTTTCTTATATCAATAAACTTATTTTTAGTTTTTGTTTTTAAATATTGACATTTAATAAATCTACATATAGTTTTAAAAAATATTTTATTTATTTTTGTGTAAAAAAGGCATCAGAACATTCAACTTATTCATTGAAAGACAGGAATTAAAATATTTATTTTCATAATTAAGGTAAAATCATTGGTGAGACTTAGTCCTCCCTTTTTTTCTATAATTTTTTTTTGGTTTCTTTTAATTAACTTGATTTTGTTTTTCTAGGTTTTTGTTTTTATTTTAAGTTTGTCACTTCAATTATGGTCTTTGTCAAAATCAAATCATTATGCTAAAACTATCACTTAAATTTGAGTGACAATAAAATTTCAATTTATTTTTTTAGAAACTTTATGTACTGTGTTGTTAAGAAATAATATATAAATATTTACTTATTTAAATATTTAAGATCATACCTCCTATTATAATATTATCAAATATTTACTTATTATAAATCTTATTATATTTTAAGAATATTTTAGATTATTTTATTATTTTTAATACAAGTTATAAGAAAAGTAAAATAATAAATAATCAAATAAAAAATATAAACAAATAAAATAATAATAATATTGTGAAATTTTAAACTTATATTTTATTTTTTATTCATATTTTAAACCACTATAATAAAAATAAATTTTATTTCAAATTATATTGTGAAATTAATTTAAACTTAAAAATTTGGTTTAAAACTAGTG